AGGGGAGGAGCGGCAGTGGGGAGGAAGAAAGGACAGAGCAAGATGCCAGGTGTCTGGGGCCAGTGTAGCAGCTGAGCTGCCACTACTTTCAGTGTTACTCTCAGACGCAGTCCCTTACTGCAAGCCGGCTGATCACTTTGGAGTTCCAGTCCTTCTCTTCCCATTTATCAGCGGAGGCGGAGCTGCGCCTACAGAGGAAGGTAATGTCTGAATCTGATATCTCATGTCTGTTTGGAGTGTGACCCCATTGGCCATCCATCACATGTGCAATGTGTCGGTGAGTGCTGACATCATCGCGATCCCACAGCCTGTGCTTCTAGTGGCTTCTGAGCCTGTTGATATGTCTCAATGTTGGTTGTGTGTTGTGTTTTGATCTGAAACTGTGTGGGATCGCTCAGTTCAAGTGTTCTCTTTGTGTGTGGGCAGGGCTGCTTGCATTTACAGCATTTTATCTCCACCATTGCCTGAGGAATTCCAGCCTGGGATCTGTCAGAGTGCGGATCCATCATCCTCCACTCACTGCAACTGTCACCCTGCCACTGCCAGCCACAGATACAGTCCATTTTGTGACATTGATTTTGTCTTTAATATTGGTGCTGGTGGCATTTTACGGCACTTATTTTTGCAAATTAAAAGAAATTTAGCAGTTTCCTGTTTTGTTGATTTAATATTTTCTACTGTTGTAAAAAAATGTATTTCTTTTTTTTTGGGGGGGGCACAAGTAGCTGGTTTTGTCTATGACGCAAAATAGTCTAGCACCGGCCCTAGGAACTGCATGCCACCATATAGAGGGATTGCAGGGACTTGCAGTCCTCTCTGAAGGTACTGACACTGTCAGCATGGACTACCACCAACCTGGACTTTGCCAATTATGGACTCTTCCTATGCAGATATGATGGGGCAGCCACAACCACAGTTAGGATTAGTTAGGAGAGAGACTTCTTGTTCTGTTGAACTGTTGCACTGAAGTTTTACAGTAACATCTTGAAATGTTTTCCTGTCCTGTCTGAAGGTTTTCAAGCAGGTGTATGAAAGTACCAAGCACAGTATGCATAGTCTTCTAGAGCTTGGGTCAGTTAAAGCACATTCGGGTATGAAGTTAGTCTCTGCAAGAGTCAACATGGCGCACAGTAAAGCAAGTAGTTGCCAAGGGTGATGAAAGTCTAGTAATCTGTATAAGCAGCCTGTCATGAAGTGTGCTACCTGTATAAGCCGAGGTCTTCTCTGGTAGCGAGGGGTTGCCTCTGGGGCCCCATTCTGTTAACAATCTGTCTCCCATTGCAACTGGAGCAAATTAGCATAACGGAGGCCCTCGGCCTAGCCACCAGGTACAGGAGAGCAAAAAACAAAGTGCACACATGAGGTCCCCACTGGGTGCATGGCAGGACCCCATTCTATCACTGGGAGTGAGGTGACAGAGACACGCTGGATGAGTGAAGTGGGCATGGACTCAGCATATCCCTCCTAAATACAACAGTTGCAGTCAAGATGTGCATTGACATGATGAGACCAGATAGTTAACTGCAGCAGTCTAGGTTATTTGCTCAGTGTACACGGTATTTGGCCCATCTCCAAGTTGGACTGCCTTAAGATTGATTTTCCCTGAAAGCGGTCATTGGTTTCTCCGGAGGCATTGATGTGTATGATACAGCAAAGGTGCCCCATGTGCAGGGCGAGTGACCCCGCCAACAGGTGCCTAGCATAACCCAGAAGAACCTGGTGGGCCTACAGTCATGAGAAACATTCACCACTGCCAGCCCACAAACGGGCTGCCAATGCACAGGAATGAATAAAAAAGGACACATAGCATTTGCTTCCAGTGTAACGCAATGCATGGTAGTGTGTTACTGAGCCCTGTGGTGCGCTGCAATGCATGTGTGTTGGAGCTGCTTTGCTTTACTGCATTGGTGTGTTACCATAAATCACGTCCATGTGTTTACTGCAATACACCCCATAGGTGTGCTTCCATGTGATCAGACTAGAAAAAAAAAAGACAATTTTGAAGTTATATTGCTCTAAAGGTGGATAAAGAGACTTGGCATATATTCTTTTTATTCCAAAGACCGAAGGATAAGGAGGCCTCTTGCGTAAATGAGATGTAACCATTATTATAGGAAGGAGTTCTTTACTGTAAAAGAAGTTGGGCTGTAGAAAGCTCTACCACAAAACAGTTATAATAAAGTGAATACATGTATTCTAAAAAGGGTTAGAAATGTATCCACAGAATCAAACCTACTACTTTGTGTGTGTCAGGAAGGAATTTAGTTTTCCCTAAAAGGCAAAAGTGATCATAGCTGGGATGGCACTTTGCCTTTATTTGGATTGAAACTGATATCATTTTGTGATAGGTTAAACTTAATGGACATTGGTCTTTGCTCGTGTTGTGATGTGTGAACCTGTTTTATGCAGTTTTCTACTGTGGGCCCAGGTTGCATAATGATGAAAGCCCTGTGGGTGCGTCATTGGCAGCCTAGGCTCATATACAGTGGTTGAGTGATCTTGATCATCACTCAGCCAGAAAAAAAGGAGTGACTGGCTGGAGTGTTGGTCAAGAAAGCTGGAGGGAGAGTGTACAGGAGCCTGAGCTTGCACCCACGATAGAGCTATGTAGGGTCCTGTGAATGAAACAATAAATTCACATTTTTTATTTGCAAAAATATGTGCTTTTATTTTATTTTATTTTTTTTCAGAAAGGTGAACTTATCATTTATTATCCTATAAGGTCAACATTGTTTCTTTTATCATGATTGTTGTTTTTTTTTTTTACCACTTTAAAAAAAACCCATCTGATCAGGCACATAATTGAAATATATCACATTTCCACAGATTGACCATTGACAAAAATGCTTTGCATATGTGGATTTTTTTGTTGGTCTGTATAAGTTCCGTACAGTTAAATATATATATATATATTATGACTGAAAAAAATGTTTACAGAGTTCAGAAAAGTATTTTTAGAATTCTGTCTGACAGTTTCTTTAAATATAATCTCAATGTTTGGCACGGGAGAATAATTTAGAAACGAGCATCTGTAGCCATGTCTTCATTCAAAACATTATTACTTCTTACAAAATACCTTATGGTCTTAAGTTTTATTCTGTAATTTATTCTGTTTTGATTTTTATAGGAATGTTAAAGTGATTGTAAACCTTCACCTTGTAAAACAACCCTTTCAGTTTAAAAAAGCAATGACAAAGGCAAAACATTAACTGCATAAGGAGCAGGGGGAGGAGAAACTAAAATTCACTGATCTTCCCAGTGAAAGGCTGTGTGTGGAAGGGGGTGGGGGGTGGGGGGGAGTCAGAATAACTCTGATCATTGGAGGAGAGCAGACTGAGTTCCCAGTACATCTAGAGATCTCACCACTTTGTGTTCTCCTGCTTAGTGTGGTCAGTTTTTAATAGAAAAGCAGAAGGACTGGCAGGCACACCAGGGATTTTACACAAAGGAAGCAATACAAAGAAAACAGGATACATTTTCATACAGGTACATGGTACAACAGGCACATATCAAGAATATGAAATGTTTGGTTTACATATTCCTTAAGTGGTGCATAACTATACAAATACCATAGAAGTCATTTATGATTCACTCTGCCTAAATCAGACCAGACCTAGATGGATTCTGATTAGTTGTTATAGGTTAGCAAATTTAAAGTACTGTACATCTAAATCCACATTTTTTAATAAAGTGGGAGAGAGTTGAAACCTCTGTTTTTTTGTTTTGTTTTTTTGTGGCCTATTGAAAAGATTTCCTTCACTTCCTGTCCTTTACAACCAATAGGAAGTAAGGACATGAGAAAAATCACTTCTTCAGTGCCAGCTCACACCAGAATTGCACAAGAATGTGCTCCACATTCCATTGGGATTCAGTGTGATGCGATTTTCAGCCCTGTCATTTGACAGGCTGAAATCACACCATAAGTAGTGCATGCACTGCAACTGGATAACATGGTACCATCCAATCCGGTACAGGCAAACGCACTGCATTTGCAATCTGTATTTGGGGCATCATTAAGAATCTAATGGCACCTGCAGGAGATCATATAACCGATGCATTTGGAATACGGTGCAGGAAATGTGCATGGAATGCAGGTTTCCCGTACTGTGTTGCGGTGCGAACTGGCACTGAGCACTGATACTGGAAAATAGACTCCATTCCTGTTCTGATGACAGCTAAGAGTATTAGATTGATCCTTATTTTGAGTCCTGGCGACAGTTGTTATCAGGATTTATAGAAAAGATGAATCTCCAGAGTGGGAACACAGACAGTAAAATCAACAGGCGGGGTTCATAACCCCTCACCCTTTCAGATTGGGTGGATTCTAGTCTGATCAGCAGGTGATCCACCCACAGGATCATGTTTGCTCAGTTTGTGCAGAGTGGACACAGACAGATCTCACTCTGTTCTATGGGTGGTGGGGTGTAAATGGACTCTGCTGTCCATTTACACCTGCTTACCCTCCAATCTGATCTGAACAAAAAGGATGAATCCCTTTTTCCAATTTTTTAGCGGAGTGTATTGAACCTGGAGGTAGGCAGCTGAAAACAGACACCAGTCCATTTACACCCACCTGTCCATAGAAATGCATGGACCTTCTGATCAGATCCACCCCGAGAAACTGACTGGCAGACCTGATCAGATCGCAAAGTTCTGCATTCAGGTGCACTTTAACCACTTGCCCTCCTGAGGATTTACCCCCCTCCCTGACAAGGCCATTTTGTGAGTTACGGCGCTGCGTTATGTTAACTGACAATTGCGTGGTCATACAACGCTGCACCCAAATGAAATTTATGTCATTTTTTTTCCCACAAATAGAGCTTTCTTTTGGTGCTAATCTGTGCGTTATTTTTTGTGCTATAAAAAAAAAGGGCAGACAATTTTGAGAAAAAAACAATATTTTTGACTTTTTGCTATTAAACATGTCCAGTAGAAAATGTAAAAAAAAAAATCAAATTTCATCATAAATTTATGCCAAAATGTACTAGTAATGGAGGCAATCAGCAACTTATAGCGGTACTGCGGTGGACATTCTGACACTGGGGGGAACTGACTTGGTGTCACTGACATCCCCAGTGACACCAATACAGTGATCAGTGCTAAAAAACAGCACACTGACACTGTACTAATGGCACTGGGCAGGAAAGGGTTAACATGAAGGGCAATCAAAGGGTTAACTGTGTGCTGGGAGTGTTTTACTAGGGGGCTATGTCAGTATACTTCAATGTAATCATACTGCTTTGGATGGCTGTGCTGTGTACAGACATCCAAACCAGTGTGCCCAAGTTGACAGGGAGGAGAACTGTTAGTAAACAAAACAGTTCTCTTCCCCGTCGGAGATCCTCAGAAATCACCAGGCGCCGGCGAGTAATCACCGGCTGGGACCCGCAAATGGCGGCGCGGGTAGAGCACATGTGCTGCTCGCGAGTGCCCCCTACCTGGGAATGCAAAATCACGTATATATACACATGATTTTGCGCACCAGTGCTGCACTGTAGCAGTATTTCTGTCATAGGGCGGTCGGGAAGTGGTTAAGAATAACAACTGTTCGTATGGTTAATATTCACATTCTTTAGAAAAGTAGCAAATCAGGATAAACTAATATTGTTAAAATATGACATTATAAATAGTATCTTATTACAAAATGTTCTAAATATTTTTTCTTCTTCTTTAATTCTATTTGATACACTGATATAAGATACAATGCTGCAATTTGTGAACGTCTAACAGTCTCTGCAGGCAACTAAAAAATTAGTACACATTTCTGGTTAATATACAGAAGTTCACATAAGCAGCACAATTTCAGTGGTGTATCAGCGGGAAACTTGTGATTACTATTAGCTGGAAATGACTATAAAAATTAATATTGTTACTTCTCAGATGTGCCATGGCTTTTATTAGCAAGACCCTGGTGAGCACCCTGAAGATGCTGAGCAAGTGGGAATGCTGCAAGGCAAATCAGTTCACCCTGAGCTGAAGATTTAACGGGTTTAACATTTTATTCCCTTCAATATCCTGGACACATTCTGGTCTTGCATACAGATGCACAGAACAGACGATACAGATATTGCCTGTTAATATATTAGCCCTGGGTGATCCAACTGTCTCTGGGCTGTGCTATTCTTTTGTCTTTATTCACTACGGATGACAGATTTTCACAGGATCTTTGCAATGCCTGCATACTATCTCTCCTGAGATAAATATCTGTTTGGACCTGCTTATACTGCCACTGGAATTTCTTAAGAATGTTTCACCATACCCCCTAGTTCTGTGATGTAGAGTCACTTCTTTGTTATACCTATCTGACTTCAAGAGTTTAGCATATTTGTCCTACTTTATTGACACCTGCCAGGCAGTAATGACATACTACTGATTTAATCCATATGAAGCAGTCATTGGCTCTTAGCTCCATCTGAGGGTAATGTATAGTGGTTTTGAACATACCTCTTTATTTATTTAAGGTCAGGATCATAAAAAGAAGATATTTACAACATTTATTTTTCTTTTTCATATATTTATTAAAGCAGAGCTCCACCCACAAGGGGAAGTTCCGCTTTAAGGACTGCTCCCCATTAAGGATTGGCACCTCTGGGGGGTGGGGGGGGCAGGTACCCAAATTTGACAGGTTCCCACTTCCGGTTCGATCGCCTAGGCCAGTGGTCGGCAAGCCGTGGCTTGCGAGCCACATGCGGCTCTTTACAAACTTAAATGCGGCTCTTCTGTGTGCCGGGCGCCCGCTCCCCTCCCTCCTCTCGGGCGGCCGCCCCAAAAGTCAAGACTCTGCAGCTGTCAGGATGTAGGCGGTGCAGCCAGGATGTAGGTGGGACAGCATGACGAACTCCTCTCCTCTCACAGTCCGCCCTGAAGACCAGAACGGCGCGGGAGCACGGCGAGAGGAACGCGCGGAGCAAAGGTAAGTGAATTGACACAGGGGGGACTTACTATATGGGGGATGAATTACTATATGGGGGATGAATTACTATATGGGGGATGAATTAATATAGGGGGATGAATTACTATAGGGGGAATGAATTACTATATGGGGAATGAATTACTATGGGGGGGATGAATTACTATATGGGGGATGAATTACTATGGGGGGGATGAATTACTATGGGGGGGATGAATTACTATAGGGGGGATGAATTACTATAGGGGGATGAATTACTATGGGGGATGAATTACTATGGGGGATGAATTACTATATGGGGGATGAATTACTATATGGGGACGAATTACTATAGGGGGATGAATTACTATATGGGGGATGAATTACTAATTACTATGGGGGATGAATTACTATATGGGGGATGAATTACTATATGGGTGACGAATTACTATATGGGGGATGAATTACTATTATGGGGGATGAATTACTATAGGGGGATGAATTACTATAGAGGGGTGAAATTACTATATAGGGGGATGAATTACTATATGGGGGATGAATTACTATGGGGGATGAATTACTATATGAGGGATGAATTACTATATGGGGGATGAATTACTATATGGGGGAATGAATTACTATGGGGGATGAATTACTATATGGGGGATGAATTACTATATGGGGGAATGAATTACTATATGGGGGATGAATTACTATAGGGGGGATGAATTACTATATGGGGGATGAATTACTATATGGGGGAAAAAATTACTATATGGGGTATGAATTACTATAGGGGGGATGAATTACTATATGGGGGGATGAATTACTATAGGGGGAATGAATTACTATGGGGGATGAATTACTATAGGGGGGATGAATTACTATATGGGGGATGAATTACTATGGGGGATGAATTACTATAGGGGGATGAATTACTATATGGGGGATGAATTACTATGGGGGATGAATTACTATATGGGGGATGAATTATATGGGGGATGAATTACTATATGGGGGATGAATTACTATATGGGGGATGAATTACTATATGGGGGATGAATTACTATGGGGATGAATTACTATATGGGGGATGAATTACTATATGGGGGATGAATTACTATATGGGGGATGAATTACTATGGGGGATGAATTACTATATGGGGGATGAATTACTATATGGGGGATGAATTACTATATGGGGGATGAATTACTATATGGGGGATGAATTACTATATGGGGGATGAATTACTATATGGGGGATGAATTACTATGGGGGATGAATTACTATATGGGAGATGTATTTTCAGTTTTAAAAATGTGGCTCTCAAAATAAATTTCAATCATGGTTTTGGCGAGATTTGGCTCAGTTGAAAAAAAAGGTTGCCCACCACTGGCCTAGGCAATCGGGAACGGAAGGTGTCCTCCCTCCCTGTAGTCTTTTGGGACACATGACAGGTCCCAGAAGACTACAGGACCATTCATGAAGCGCAGCGCTACTCACGCATGCACAGTGGGCGCCCGGCTGTGAAGCCGCAAGCTATCACAGCTGGGTGCCCACACTGAAGATTAGGTGTGAGCCTAGGGTAAATCAAGGTAGTAATTCCACTTTACACCATGTATGGGTCTATCTGAAGTCAGAGACAAAGGGAGAAGTAATCACAAGTGTCTCAGACTGGCTTTATCTCAATAGAGGTGATTGCTCCTAGCAATAAATCCGCTTCTACCATTTTTTCCATGCAGCCTATAAAATTAAAAATGAAAATCTGACGAGCTGTGTTCTTGATGAGACAAAGTTTGTCTCAGCCACTTTTTATTATTTTTCCCCAAAGTGTCTGGAATAAGACGTGTCAAAAATCTTGTGTCAATGGTACATCCTGTATTAATGTTTAAAGGGTATATTTTTGAATAACATTTCTTTAGTTACATATCCAGCAAAACTGTTGGTACATTTGTTCTGTGGGAATGGAGCAAAATTGAATGTTCTCAAGCTACTTAATCTGCAAGTAGAATGTTATACATTCATAAAGATTTTGTGAAAATAGAACATTATTTCTTCTAGATGGAGCTGGTAGTCCAATGACTTATGTCCTATGATTTTTATCTCCATCTAATAGCCATAATGTGATATTTTGCTAAACCATTTTTATGAATGAATAACATTCGACCTGTGAGAGGATTTGATTTTGCCTCAATAGCCTTAGAAGATTTGATTTTGCCTCACTCCCTCAGTTTGACAAATTTACCAGCAGTTACACAGGATGAATAGCTATGTAATTTATTAAAAAAAAAATACACACATACATGCTTAAAAACATCTATTCTATCTATCTATCTATCTATCTATCAATCTACTAAAAGCATAGGTCAGAAACATACAAACCTTACAAAACCCTATCACATTGAAATGCATAAAAAATGTGCCGGGGTGTCAGCAGCAACCAGCTAGATATTTTATTATGTAGTAGAAATCCTTCTTTATTGACATCTGCAGCAACTACCATAAAAGCAATTGAGTCATTTTTGAATGTCACTCCAATAACACATTGTCCATTTTGGACAGCTTTGTTCAGTTATTCTATCTAATTCAGATGCATTTGTGTTAGGTGGTCCACTGTAAACCAAGATATTGTGTATATGTGAATACCCTCTACAGACAAATCCACAACAGCAGGGGGAATTCCAATGCTCCAGAGGTTTTCCTTGGTTCATCGTAGAACTTGAATGGTTTTGTGTTTTGTGAAAGGGCTGACCGTCCTGCAAACTATTCTAGATTAACAATTCTGTTTGTTCAGATTTGATGACCATGCACTAATTCTAGAATTCCCCTTAAAATGTCTTGGTGTTTACTACCAATTATCCTTTCATAAATGTTGATGAACCCAGAAGGATTTAGCTCTGAACATTTTCAGGTTCAGACCTGTCAGAATCATGGCAATATTGGGTAAAGAGCTGATCAAGCACAATCCAGTGCCTAGTCAGATGAAGTGAAGGCATGGGAGATCTTAGGTTTCTAATAGACCCCCAATATCTCCTTAAAGAGTACCTGTCACCTCCTCAATCATATACCAATTAAGGTAAGTTTAAAAAGCTTTAAAAATAAATTAAAATTATAATTTAAAAAAAATTTAAATGCAACTCCATCATTTTGTGCATACGATGTGTGGTAGGTAGCTTCTTGGAAACCAAAGTGAAAGCAATAATCCTAGAACCATCATTCGCTGTTAACTCTAATTCAGTAACCTGTAAAGGCTATTAAAGGACTGCCTATTTACACGATTAGGTACTGTCATTTTTTTTTTCAAATTCCCAGGTGCGCAGTTTTGAAGCTGTATGTGTTTGGTATCTATTTATTAGATGCAACCCCATCATTAAAAAAATGTTATATTGTGTTTGTGAGCAATACAATTCACCTAGTGTATTTTTTCTGAAAATATTTATAGATTTGATAAACAGATGCACAGATATTGTGCAACCTCAAAAGTACAACTGCCAGCATTTTATACTACAGGCCTCTGCTTTCAGAAAATTAATACAGCAATTGTTCAAGAGTTTTAAGTGACTTTCTAGTAGATTTTAACATGTGTGTGAAAAAAATTTAAATTTCTCAGAAGGTGAAGAGGTTAATGAAAGTTGCAGAAGTTAGCAACATACTGAAAATGATTTTTGAAATTAGAATAATGTGTTAAACATTTATAAGATTTTAGTGTTTAGGTTTAGGAGGAGATCAGATTGAAAAAGCTAGGAAAAATAAAATCACATAAAATCATGTTTTCATAGATATCTAGGTAGGATGTCTAGACCAGCCTTTCTCAACCAGGGTGCCCAGGCACCCTGAGGTGGCTTCAGGCTTCCTCAGGGGTGCCTTGGCAAAATGCCCAAAAATTGTATACAAGCCAGCAAGTAGATCAATCCTGTCTTTTAGTACACAAAGCCACAGGTTTTTATTGTGCACTATTATGACCTTCTAGCTGCCAGCATCCTAACAACCAATTACATCATCAATTGATAAAGAAGACGTCCGTGTGAATGCACATCATCTTTGTTTGGCCCTCTCCTGCCCCTCTCCATCAGCACTGGGGTCACATTAGCAAAGTAAGGGAGAGAAATTGAGAGACACACTGGAATACTAATCGGTACCAGTGTGCAAAGATCTATTTGCTTTGGAAGAATAAATCACCTCTAATATTGGGTGTACTGGATGTGTGTAGAATAGGTTTTTACATTTTAGATTGGGGTGCCTTGAGATTAGCCATAATTTTAAAGGGTGCCTTGACTGAAAAAAGGTTGAGAAACACTGGTCTAGACTTCCTAACTGAAAGAGAGCAAACAGAATAATCAATACTCCTATACATGCAAACACACCTCTGTTATATTTTGTTTATAATGCTGAGCTGCAAGAGGTGTAAATGTTTCAATTAGCCTTAGCCTCTTTGATCTGTATCTACTGCAATGACTTTCACATAGAAGGTCAATACACATGTGCAAATAAAAATATATATATATATATATATATATATATATATATTGTTTGCGTACATGTATTGGCCTTCTTTGGGCATGTGTCTGTGTGTGCATGTGTATTCACATCTTAAGTATAATATATAATTGAGTATACTATATAATTGTACAGGATTAGAGATAGGTAAACTAATCAAACATTACTCTTTTACTGATTCTTGTCAGTGGGATCAAATGCTTGCTTCAACAGAGAGTATCTCCCCATAGCCCAGTCAATCAGCAAAATTACCCTTGATGGAGTAAAAGGTTTTTTTTTTTGCTAAAGAAAATTTTAAGCGACTCTAGATGGAGGGATTAAGCATGCACAGGGTTTCTGGGGTGTATACGCTGTTTTTATACTGTAGCTTACATAGACGTGAATCTTTTTGCTTTTTCTCATCTTTTTGTGATACAGGGTGTTAGGCTAGGTTCGCATCAATGTGGTGCAGTTTTCTACGTTTAGTCTTTATGCACGTTTTACACACATTTCTACGTGTCTTTTTTTTTTAAATTCAAATATTTATTAATTTTTCATATTTATAAATACATATATAATAAAAGGAAAAGGAAAAAAGAACATAACAATACATTTCATCAACATTCTCATAATATATAAAATTCTTAATCCTATCTCCTTCTATTTCCCCCTATTTATATCCCTTACCTCCCCCTACCCCCCTACCACATCCCTCCACCCTCCCACTCTGCATTTTTCTCTTGCCCCTTCCCTATAAAATCAAAAAACTTCTCTTATCATTTCTTATTGCTTCATATATATTCGTTTGATGTACAAAATCTTCCCATTTCTCCCATCTCCTATTATATATCTCCATCTTACCTTCTTGGATATAGTATAGTTTCTCCATTTTACTAATCTGATTTACTTTCTCTACCCAATCCTTTTCTCTCGGAACCTCTAAACTATGCCAGAATTTAGGTATCAAACCCTTTGCTGCATTCACATAATACCATATACCCAAATCTTTGTATTTATTCACTGGTAAATCTGTTTTATGTAATAAGCACACTTCTGGATCTAATCCTATCTTTATCCCTGAGATTTTCTCTATGAAGTTGACCGTTTTCTCCCAAAAACTTATTTCTTCGTGTCTTGCCAGTAAAGTCTGCTTTGTGATTTTTACCTATAGGTAAGCCTATAATAAAGTGCACCTGTAGGTAAAATAAATATCTCCTAAATGTGCACCTTTTAGGAGATATTCACTCTTCTGGCACCATGCCCATGTCGTTCCTTCAGAGAGCTGTGTTGCGGGGGAATTATGTTATTGCAGCTTGCCCATTAAAGCTGCCGGAGCCCGCAAACCCGAAAGGAAGATCAGGTGAAGATGGAAGGGTATGGTTGTTGTCTTGCAGGGTTTTTTTTTTTTTTTTATTTACTGCCAAGGATTACTACTACTTTAAACTCTATTAGAAAGTGTATCAAAGTTAAGCATGATGCAATTTTGATGCTCCTTCATAAAATACATGTTCTAATAGAGTTTAATGGCAGCGCACCTAAAAAACGTGTAAATTGTGCATAAAAACCCAGAAGCTGACCTATGTTATAGAAGCAGTCAGTGAAGAGTGTGGCAGCAACCACCTTTATTCCTCATAGGCCCACTACTGCCATGCAGCAGAAAAAAAAACTTTGAGACCTCACAGTGGGGAAAATAATTATTTGACCCCCTACAGATTTTGTAAGTTTGCCCACTTACAAAGAAATGAAGGGTCTATAATTTTTATCACAGGTGTATTTTAAATGATAGAGACAGAATATCAACCAGAAATCCAGAAAAAAACACGATACAAATTGAGTTACAGTTCAGTGAGTAAAATAAGTATTTGTTCCACGAGCAAAACACGACTTAGTACTTGGTGGAGAAACCCTTATTGGCAAGCACATAGGTAAGAAATTTCTTGTAGTTGGTTACCAGGTTTATACACATCTCAGGAGTGATTTTTATCCACTCTTTACAGATCTTCTCTAAATCCTTAAGGTTTCTTAGCTGTCATTTGGCAACTCGAAGTTTCAGCTTTCTCCATACATTTTCTATGGGATTAAGGTCTAGCTAA